AACAGCTGATCAGCTGTTTGTCGGCTCAGCGCGGCAGCCATGTAAATTTAAATGAAGCGGCGATTATTTAAATCGCCGCTTCATTTTACTATGTCCGGTATCCTAATCTACGTGTCTCTGTCGCCAGAGGCATGTAGTCTAGACGTACCCTTAGGTCCCTGCATTCCATGGATGTCAGGCATGCCTTAGCTTTTTACCTTGAATGTACTAAGTCGTTCAGGAATTCTAATCAATTGTTTGTTGCAGTAGCAGAAAGGATGAAGGAGCTACCGGTCACTGCCCAGAGGATATCCTCCTGGATCATGGGGTATATTCGTACTTGTTCCAACATAGCGAAGGTGCCAGCCCCTCAATTGTCAGCCCATTCGACCTGGGGTCAGGCCTTGTCAATGGCTTTTCTTGCACATGATCCCATCCAAGACATATGTTGAGCGGCCCCATGGTCCTCGGTACATACATTTACATCCCACTGTGCCATCCAATGGCAGGCTAGGGAGGATGCTGCATTTGGAAGGGTAGTGTTGCAGACTGGTGATCTCTGACCCTCTGCTGGTGAGAACTTGGAATGCACAAGAGCAATCACTCAGAGAAGAAAAGACAGTTACTTTTCATAACTGGTGTTCTTTGAGATGTGTTCTTCATGTCCGTTCTAAAACCCTCCTGACTCCTCTCTGTCAGAGTAACTTACAAGAAGGAATTGGGGGGTATGTCTACACAGCAGCATTATTTTTGAATAATGAACATTATTCCAAAATAATGCATTTAGTGTCTACACAGCATGCCCGTTATTTCAAAATAAATTTGAAATAACAGGCATCTTACTCCGACTTCTCTAAACTTCATTGTATGAGGAATAAGGGAAGTCGGAGGAAGAGTGCTCTGTTTTGAAATAAGTGCTATGTAGACATGCTCAAATTCAAAATAAGCTATTTCGACTTGAGCTACGCAATTAGCGTAACTCTAGTTGCGTAGCTTATTTCAAGTTTAGCTCTGCTGTGTAGACGTACCCTGAGGGGGGAGGTGGTCAGCAGGGTGCTATGTACCTAGTCATATTGGTGCCACTCTAGGGGTCTCCCTTGCCTACCTATGGAATCCTGCGAGGGTAAAATCCTCTCAGCAACTGTGAACATGTCTGTCATTCACACGCCTCACTTGGAATGGACATGAGCAACATATTTCAAAGAACACCAGTTATGAAAAGTAACTGTCCTTTTTCACTTGGTCTCCCCATATGCCAGTTTCTAAGATGATGCCTCAGAGATATTCACTGCAAGAGAGTGGTTAATTTGCTCACATATTTTTGCCTAATTTGGTATTTGGCAATTTTGTTTACGTGTTAATACTTGTGTATGCAAACTTGGCTAGAAAAATATTAGTATTTCTTTTAACAAATTGCATTGATGCCTGTATATAACACAGTACTTCATATCTGTCTTTAAAAAAAATAAAAAATAAAAGATTGTTTATAAAAATGGTAAACATTTGACCATTTCTATTTCTGCTTTGCACTTATACAGACACTGCCCAGATTCACGACGTACTTTTACTAAACGGCTGATGTTAGAAAAACATATTCAGTTGATGCATGGTATCAAAGACCCTGATGTGAAAGAAATGACAGAATCAACTAATATAGAAGAAAGTGATGTAAAAGAAGACACAAAGGTAAACACTTCAGAAGTATTTCTTTCAACAGTGCATTTTTTGTTCTGTTCTTGTTTGTGTGAAGTAACACTTTTTTATAGATAAGGCCCTAGCAAATTCCCAGTCCATTTTGATCAATTTCATGGTCACAGGATTTTAAAAGTAGTAAATTTCATTATTTCAGCTATTGAAATCTGTAATTTCATGTAGTTGTAATTGTAGGGGTCCTGACCCCAAAAAAGGAATTTTGGCAGGGGGAGGATCACTAGGTTATTGGGAGTGGGGTAAGATGCAGTACTGATACCTTTACTTCTGAACTACTGCAGGTGGTGGTGCTGCCTTCAGAGCTATGTAGCTGGAGAGCAGTAGCTACGGACTGGGAGCCCAGCTCTGAACACAGAGCCACCACCAGCAGTGCAGAAGTAAGGATGGCATGGTAAGGTATTGTTACCCTTACTTCTGCCCTGCTGCCTGCAGAACTGGGCCCTTAGCCAGCAGCCGATACTCTCCAGCCAGATATCTCTGAAGGCAGCACCACACAAGTAAAGGCGGCATGGTATGGCATTGCCATCTCATTTCTGTGTTGCTGCTGATGGCAGTCTGCTGCCTTCAGGGCTGGGTGCTGGCCAACAGCCACTGCTTTCTGACCACAGCACAAAAGTAAGGGTGGCAATGCCACAATGTCTCTTAATAGTCTTGTGACCCCTGCCCCCACAACTGCCTTTTAGGCCATGACCCCCCATTTGAGAAGCTCTGGTCTCCCTCTGAAATCTGTACAGTGTAGAGTAAAAAGTACACAAAATACTTGATTTCTTGCAGGACACCAGATTTCACAGTCTGAGATTCATTTTTCTTGGCTGTGAATTTGGAGGGCCCTATACATAATTTTTTGGGCTGGAAGGGACTATCTAGTCCAGCAATTCTGTAGCTGTGGACCACCATTTTAATGGGGTCGCCATGGCTGACTTAAACTTGCTGGGGCTGGGGGCTGAAGCTGAAGCAGGAGTCCCATCACCCAGGGATGAAGTTAAAGCCTTCAGCCATGAATGTCAGGGCTCAGGTTACATGGGCTCCTGGGACCCCCCCCCCCCCCCCCCCCCCCACGCTCCCCAGGGCGGTGGGGCTCAGGCTTTGGGATCATATAGTATTTTTTGTTGTCAGAAGGGGGTCATAGTGCATTGAAATTTGAGAACCTCTGGTCTAGTCTGATCTCCTGTAAAATATAGGCAAAGCATTTCGCTCCATCAGGTCATCCTTCAGGTCCTTATCTTGTGGTTAAACTAGGGCATGTTTGTTAGAAAGACATGTAGACATTTAAAGACTTCAAGTGATGGAGAATTCAGCATATATCTTGGTGAGTTGTTTCTCTAGCACCTTTTCAGAGGTGCTGTGTTGGAAGCCCTGAAAACCAGAATTCTTTATCAACCAAACAGCTATAGCTTAAAAGCTTCAGAGGAGTAGCCAAGTTACTCTGTAACTGGAAAAACTTAAAAAACAAATAATCTAGCAGCACCTGAAAGACTGACAAAACACGGAGCTGGTATCATGAGCTTTTGTGGACCTTGTGCTCACAAAAGCTCATGATACCATCTACATGTTGTGTTAGTCTTTAAGGTGCTGCTAGACTATTAGTTGTTTTTTAAGTTTTTTCAGCTACAGCTTAGATAGAAGCAGAAGCTAGAAGTACACCTCAGAATCCCCTGTCTGTGTTCCTCAATCCCAGCGATGGGAAATCAAGACTAGTGAGTGGGCCACATGAGTTGCCTCCTTTATCTCAGTGGCTACACCTTTGAAATTGGGCATGTGCACTAAACATAACCCTCAAAATACGCACTTGCTTCTCCTTCTGTATCATGTCTTTTCAACACAAAGTGATCCATGCTTACTGACATATTAAATTGTCAGCAAAAGTAACAAAGAAATGAAGGGAGCACATGGCTCTCACAATGTTATATGCAATCAGCATGCACCTCACATGTGCCCTTGCTTTAAATGTGTGTCACTTCTCATTTTGCCAGGAACTGCTCGATCCTCCACTCTGTCCCCACTCCACCCCTTTCCTCAAACCTCCACCCAATCTCTTCCCTGCCTCCTCCCCCAAGCATCCTTTCTCCTCCCTCTCCGTCCCATCACTTCTGGAGCACCGTGAATTAGCTGATTCACACCCCAGAAGTGCTGGGAGGGAGGGACAGGAGTAGATAAGTGTAGGTCTCCCAGCATGAGAGAGGCATGGGGGGATAGAGGAGACACATGCAGGTCACATGCAGAATCCTGATGGGCCGCATGCTGCCCATAGGCTGCTGGCTGCCCACCACTGCTCAATCTGTGCCAGAGGGAGCACCACTGCATGTGCGAGAATAGTACAGTCCCCTTGATTATCCAGTCCTTGGTGTGCCTGGTAGGACTTCAAACATTGATGCCAAGTTATTGATAACTGATAGTTTTATTACATGGACCCAACATTTACTGGCAGTCAGGCGACTCCAAACTAATTCACATAGGACACTGAACAATCATCTCACAATAATAATACAAATTAGGGCTTACTTTAAAATAGTAACTTAAAAATGAAAAATTTGAAGTCATCCTTAGAATAATAAGGCAAGTCCTCCTATGTGCTGGATGGGTGAGCAGTGTTGACAAGCACTGACCTGTCCTCCTTGGCCAGAGGAAGGCTGATCAAAAAACGGCTCTGTGTTTTCATGGTATATATCAAGTATCTTGGTTTTATTGAGACCGGCCTCGTTTTCCATTTGATGCCTGGGAATTTCTTTCAAAGCAATGGAAATGTCCCCATTTTTAATTACATCAATCAAATCTTTGAATTTTTTTGATCAAAATTTATTTCCATATTGAATAAATTGTTCTTTGTGTTTGCCAGAAATAAATGGTATATTGGAATTAGTGTTCAGTGTGGTGAAGCATATTAGAAGTGAAGAGAAAACTAAAGTGACTGTATGTGCTATCAGAACTGTTGTGTTGCAGGGTGAATGTAAATGATGCTTGTTCAGTGTTTTATGATAAACTCATTCTGTATACTAAGAAATATATACATCTCTGAGTCAGAGGCTGATAGCAGTGATACCAGCACACATTTTTTTAAAGGGAATTTTTGTGTGACTGTTTAACAAAACTTTGTTACTATGAAATTTCCCTCCCCCCTTTTAAAAATCTTTTTTTAAATGGGGTCATGTTAGGTGTATAGTCTTGAAATATAATGTGGATTCTCTGGGCCAAACAGGTAAGTGGAGGATTCTCGAAAAATACAGACCTTGGGCAGTAAAACGAAGAAACAGAGTGGTTTGTAAAGTAGTAATGAAAAGTTTTACTCAGTGATTCATCTTTTTTCAGTATCTCCTTCTGGCCACAAATCATCAGGAGGTAATCTATAGTCGTCATCATCATGTATGGAATAAAATTAAGATTGAGATTGTGAAAGCAATCATTAAAGTACTAATAGAATGACATCCTAAATATGTCCATTGCTTTATCATTAAATATTACATTTTAATACAGTGATTACTAGATTGCATTTATCAATGTTCGTACAATGTGCCAAATGCTGTTACTGTACCAGACCTAGCAAAATCAATCTCTAGTACAATATATTAAGGAACTGATTCTTGTTAACACTGATGGTTGTTTCTGTTATTTCAGAGGTTGGATTTAGCAGGGAATTATTGAAACATATCAATGGATGTTTGTTTAGTCTATAAGAGATGAACATTCATGAGGAGGTCTGTTATTTATAACTGCATAAAAATGTACTTTTCTTGGTTTTAGGTTCCCAGTCCAAAGCGTAAGTTGGAAGAACCTGTTCCAGAATTCAGGCCTCCAAGAGGAGCAATCACTCAGCCATTGAAGAAGTTGAAGATAAATGTTTTTAAAGTTCACAAATGTGCTGTTTGTGGCTTTACAACGGAAAATCTTCTTCAGTTTCATGAACATATCCCACAGCATAAATCTGATGGCTCTTCGTATCAGTGCAGGGAATGTGGCCTCTGCTATACCTCTCACGTATCTCTCTCCAGGCATCTCTTCATTGTACATAAGCTGAAGGAACCTCAGCCAGTATCAAAACAAAATGGGTCTGGGGAAGATAATCAGCAAGAAAATAAACCCAATCATGAAGATGATTCATCTGACAACATGGCATCAGACCGAAAATGCAAAGTATGCGCAAAGACATTTGAAACTGAAGCAGCCTTAAATACTCATATGCGAACACATGGCATGGCCTTCATCAAATCTAAAAGATTGAGTTCAGCTGAAAAGTGATCAGATATCTGAGAAGCAAAAATCCCTGTCCACATTGGAATATAAATGACATTTTTGTTACAGAAAGTTCTTCATATAATAGTGTTAACAGTACGGTTCAGGCTGTTGCAATATATTCTACATAAATGTATCCTCTTCACCTCCTTGTCTATACGCTCAATAAGCATTAAAACAGTATTTCAGTTGAAAAGAGTTTGTATATATTTAAACTAACAATTTTTATACTCTTTGTTACGTGTTTGTATTGATATTTAGTGAAAAATCAGTTTTTTTGGTTTTTGTTTGTTTGTTTTGTAGTAAGTTTCTTTAAAACAGAGTTCTTAATACAGGGGCAGTTGCTTGGGTTCTGTTAAGCTGTTTTATATATAAAATTATTCTGAAAGAAAGTTTAGTTAATGAAACTGCACCAGAAAGCAGTGCTTTAATGTATAGGGAAGATTTTGAAAAGCAATGGGACTTGTGCTTCTAAATCTCACAAGCGGTTTTGAAAATCGGTCCCCAAGAAATAGTCTGTGTAACTATAGAGAATACAGTATTGATTTTAGGCAGTAGCACCAGAAATAGCAGGTGTTTACTATTCAAGGTGCACACTCCATAGGAAGTCATTGCACTTTTGAAAAAATGTAACTGCACAATTGGACATCAGTACATAATTTGTTTGGGCATTGCAAAGGGGTCTTTAAGGTCTCACAAAGTTAAAATTGTTACAAAAGGGCTGGGCTGTTGTGATCAAACAAATATGGTATAATTAAATATGTTTTATAATTATGGTGGATTTTATCATGTAAATTATTTAACATTATATAGAAGTGAGTACAAAGCATTGTACAGCATTGTGTATTTTCCTTTTTTCTGGCTTTTGAAAGAAAACAGTTTAATTCCTTGGCTGCATGAGTTGGTATTTCCCATCTCTGTATGCTAATGCCAAATGTTCTGGTGCTCAATGTTATGTCAAACCACAACTGTCAAGAAGGTAATAAACCAGCCTATTTAAGTAAAAGTTGGGCTTTCAACATTAGCACAGACCATCTGAAACTAGTTCACTCATTTCAAAAAATATACCTAATGAACTGGTTATGTTTTCTTGAAGTACAGAAAAGGTACCATACTGTCCCTTTCATATAGAGTTCTCTGTGAGAGTTATATTTTTGTTTGTTTGCTTTTGCATTTTCTACCTTGTATGTATCCCTAAACAAATTTTGTACCTTTTTTAAAAAAAATTGTGTATATATAGATATCCGCATGATATACTGTAGTAATTGTTCAGTTCTTTAAAAGTCTTGCTGCTGTCAAATGTTACTATACACTATGTCCATTATAACTGTATTAAACACATTTCATATGTAAATAAATGTGAAGCATTTTGCCTCTAAAGATTTGTGAGATTCTGTTATTTAATTAAATTTTAACAACATTAGAAACCTGAGCTATGTAAAAAATCCTCTTGCCACTCTGTGTTGTATATCAGAAACTTTAGCTCTACCTTTTCTCTCCATCCATGTTCCTAATTTGGTTGATTAGTAGATGCTTGTTATCCCCTTTATACAATACTCAAGTATTAGGTGATTATGCAGTACTTCTATATGCTAAAGCTTATAGCTGAAGTTGCAGGTTCCTGGTATGTTTTTGTCAGTTATGTGTACTGGCTATCTTTGCCCTTTTGTTAAGTGTATACCTCTTTAACACTTGTTTGTTGATGAACACTGTCAACTGTACAGCAAATAAGTTATCACTATGCAGCAATGGTGTTTTGTATACAGTGAACAGAGAATAAAGGTTAAATTTGCACAGGCATTATTCATACTTTTTGTTGTCTGTTCCCTTTCCATTATTGCACACCTACAAAGAAGAAACCCTGAAGTGGTTTTATGAAATTGCTAACTTAATAGTGGCACCAGGTCTTTAGGTAACCTATGTGAGATCACTTTGGTGGCCACAGACCAATTTCCAAGTGTACATGTGTATCAAAAAATTTGCTACAAATGACCCATTAGGAATTTCATTTTGCCAATTGATTAAGTGGGGGATGGGACTCAGGTATTTGGTAATGGGTGCTAGTCAAAACCTCAGGCTGGCAGAATTGGCACTCCTTATTAGTAATTTCAGCAGATGTGTAAAGAAAGACTGGCATTGAACAAGCCCCTAACTATCTAATTGCAGGCTACTGGACATTTTGCTGACATTGATGGTCTGCAGGCAACACCTGCAGATCCTAGTGGTTGTGGTTCTCTGTTCCGAGCCAATGGGAGCAGTGGGAAATGGCACCTGTAGGTGAAGGGATGACCAGGATGTGCTGGTCACCATGTGTTGGCCATCATATCCCACAGCTCCCATTGGCCAGGAGCAGAGAACCACAACCCATGGGAGCTGCGGGGGGAGGGGGGAGCGGGCTATGCCTGTGGACAGTCAATGTCAGCAAAATGTTTTGTGGCCCGCAGTCGGATTACTGTGATGTGCCACATATGGGCTGCAGGTTGCCTACCAACTGCCCTAACTTCTAGAAGCACTTTTTGATATGAGTTTATACACATTGCTAAGGCAGCAAAAGGATATACAATCTATCACTGTTAGTAATGTGCATGCTATTTAAATAAATAGGACTTCTGTCTTCTATGATCCCTGAATATATATACATTAAGAAGAGTTACATTGAATATCATAATAGCTGTCCCATCATCCCATTTCACTGTGTCACCCTACTCCTCGAAGCCTCATGGCCATTTTTGAAGGAAGAAGGCTAGAAAAGTGGCCAGCCTTTTTCAGGTAGAAATAAGCCAGATGATGTCCTATTAAGAGCAATGTTAGCACAAGCAAAGGTTGGGTTCCTTACCGACAGGAAAACACCTCCTCAGGATGGTAATTTACACCAAAACTTTTCATATCTCGGGACATACAGCCTCATAGCTAGCCCTCCAGGATGTTCTGTCCCATAAGTGCAATGTCATGGAGGTGTATCTTATGGTGGCCATAGCATTTTCCACCTTCTGTGATCTAGATCAGCCAAGCCAGGATAGTCTTAAATCTTCTAATCACTCATCCTGAAAATATGGCATCTTTCTTCTCTGTCAGATACATTTCCTTCCTCATCAAACATGCACTCCTTCAATGGGCCAATGATGCAAAACTACCCAGGGCACAACTTATTCTCTGTTTCAAAGGTCCATCTGTGCTACTGTCGCATCCAAACGCCTGGGTGCGCTGCGGGGCTCAAAGAACAGGCCAGTCACTCTATAGACAGTGATTCTAGAAGGGAATTTTTGCATTACGCATTGTCAGCTGTGATGTACCCACCCTTAAGCAAAAGTCCCACTTCAAGCATTCTGGGATACTTGGCCCAAGTAATAGTGGATCAAATCAAATTGGCAAGAAAAAGGCAGATTCTGTAAATAAGATGATCACACAACCCCGGATGAGGGTCTATGTGCGTGGGCAAACTATAGTCTCCAGAAGAGTCTCTAGTTCGCAAAACTAATTCCTGAATACCCTCACTTTCAATCTTATGATGGTTTATATGTTTAATGCATAAATGCGTTGGAGAGGAATATCCAGAACATTTCCATTGTTGTTATTGTTACTATTAGCTATAATAGAGGCAAGCCATCTGAATGAGTTCTCCCTTGACATCTAGTGGTGAGCTGGGGGAGAAGGCTTCAGAAACTGACCTTGATTTGCATAGACATAGCCTCTATACCTAGCGATCACTTTTGGCAGGTGTTGGATCGTAAGCCACTTTATTATTGTCGGGGCAGAGGTAATAAAGGGCTTTTAACCTTCTGTCAATCCAGGGCAGCAGAACTGTGCTTGGCATGCCCTGGATGAGGTTCCCAAGTCAATGGAACTGCACTCACTAGGCCAGGGGCATGGGTGCCAAAGCTCGGTGGAGATGAGAGAGGGTGGGGACAGGTGTTTCCACCTACTAATGTGGGTTCTGCCTGAGGGCACTGTTTGACCCTCCTGCTCTCCACTGTGTCACACCAGAGCAGATTGAGACTCTTGGAAAGACTTTTGTTGTAGATCACTTGAGCTGAAACGGGTGATAGTGGCTGGTGAAAGAGATTGCCCAGCCCGCACTAGCAGTGAGGCTTCCCCACTAATAGCTGAAGTCACCGAGGGGCTGAAATCACTGAGCTGTTACGTGGTGGGACCTCAAGATACTTTGGGAGTTGCAGGATACAGGGCAGTAGGGGAGTGAATGACAGTGTAGTGGCTGATCACACAGCGAGTGGCCAAGACAGGATTGGCTGATGAGCAAACGAGCAGCCACAGAATGGCCAGTGGCAGGGGCGGGGAGGGGGGGGCAACGGG